AATAAAAACTTAAAAAAAAAGGGTAAGGCTTTTAACTAAAGACGGAATTAAATAAGAGGAAATTTTCATCTGGTTGTCTAGTATATTTGATTTGATGAAAATTAGTAATCACTCAAATAAGTAACAAAGTGGAAAATCTCATGTAAGCTTTCAGTCTCATCTCACCTCAACTGCACCTCGTCATCGTTTTCATCGACGCCCTTGTCTTCTACAAATAGACCCTTACTCTCTCAATCTCTCTCTCTCTACAACAAGAGATCCTTAAGATTGCAATTCAGGACGCATTCCTAAGGTTTTTGTTGCTTTAGCAGATCCGAGAATTTTCGAAGCTGCTGGTTGTGCCGGCTTCTCACTGGCATTGTCGCCTTCTTCTGTTTCTGTCATGTATTCTTACTTGTAGGTTTCGTTATTTACTGCCGCTTCTCTTCTTTCAGGGTGGTTCTTTTTCTTGATCTGAAAAATGGAATCTGCTACCATGAACTTTTGCAGCAACACTCTTCGCTCATCTCCCGTAAGCACACCTATTTCAGATTTCATATCCTTTTCGCTTTTCTCTTGTGATAAAAAATTGTCTTTTATGTTTTACTGGGATGCTCCCTTTTGCGAATACTGGGTTTTTCGTGCATATAAGGTGTAATCCATGCGCCATGGATGCATCTTCAATGCATTAGGAAATCCTCGAAGCATAAGCTGATCTTTGCGTTTCACGGCTTCTTAAATAAATTTTGACATCTTTAATTGGCTTATAATATAATCACATAATGGGTCCGTATTACTCCAAAATGAAATAAGTTGTACCAAAATTTGACCACCCTATTTCTATCTTGCCTATTGTGGTGTGGTCTCATGCTATAATGCGGAACGATTGCATGTCAAAGAATTAACTGTACCTATTAAATTGTGGTCAATCTATGGGGTATTCTCCCTCACATCCCATGTGACAACTGTGTGCAAGAATCAGAAGTTGGTTTGCATTGATAAAGCTCAGGTTGTGAAATGAACTTCAGTTTTGATGTATATGATTGTTTGTGTGATGAACCACTTCATCATTTATTTATGCATGATGCTGGAATCTATCTTTCCCTTTCTCTAATTGTTTTTTTTTTTTCATCTTGGCACCCACATATTTTCAGACATGTTCATTTAGTCACATCCACTACTCTCAAGACTTATTTCATTTTTTTTTTAAAATTTACATAATAATAATGAGGTACTAATATATTTGTTTATTTTTATTGTATTATCTGTGAAAGGGCCTATACATGGGTAGGACAGCCGGAATTAGGAGCTCTCAGTGCATCTTTATGGCGGGAAAAATCAGTTTCCCCCGGCAGAAGGTGCAGCCTTCTCGAGTTGGCCGTAAATATGGCAAACGTGGTGGCGTAGTTTGTGCCACAGGCAAGGATGATAAAATACTGGTGGCCAACAGAGGAGAAATTGCTGTCCGTGTGATTCGAACTGCACATGAGATGGGCATTCCTTGTGTTGCTGTTTACTCGACCATCGATAAGGATGCTCTTCATGTAAAGCTGGCGGATGAGTCTGTTTGCATTGGGGAGGCTCCGAGCAGTCAATCGTAAGCTCATCATGATACTGTTAACATCCATGTTCATTTTGTCCTCGCTTTTGGTTGTTGTACCAACTTAAAGAACTTGCAGTAAGACTTAAACATGAAAAATTGAAGTTGTATATTAGGGATGGTATCTTTTGTTCACGGCTGTTTTAAGATAGCACCAACACAGTTAGTTTGTGATTTAAGGGAGTTTTGGATGGGAAATTTAGTCTAAGATAGGATTTAGCAACAGTATCTTTGTTCAATATATTTTCCTACTTAATCTGGATGTAGTGTCGAGCAGCTGTTTTTGGCATCCAGATCTCGTTGTGTATAATACTTTTTTTCTCCCCCTTTTCTCCAGTTACTTGGTGATTTCAAATGTCTTATCTGCCGCTGTCAGCCGTGGATGTACCATGCTGCATCCTGGATATGGTTTCCTTTCTGAGAATGCTGTCTTTGTTGACATGTGCAGAGAACATGGAATTAACTTCATTGGACCAAATGTAAGTTGACTAGATTGGAATGTTTATACTTGCTCAAGTATGGGTGGTGTATAAAAAAATCTTGGTTATCTTCTCTTGTGACTATTTATGTGGCTGCATCTTTGATTTCAAGTCTAGTTACAGTCTTGAAGCCAACACCATCAAAGTTGGCCTCTCAGGCTTCTTGTAGATTTTAGCAAGCACAGTTGGATGGTCACTTTCTTGTGTTCAGGCCAATGTTATTTTAGAGAAAATGTTTTGGTGTTCTCAAATTAGTGACTGAAATATTAAAAAATAACACAAGAGACTCCCCATCACTTGGTCCGTATATGTCGTTATTTCTTCTTGAAAATGATCTTGATCTTTGCATGGATGGCCATCTTGGGTAATGATGTGGATTTTGTGATTCAATGTACTCGCTGTCTTCCCACCCTGAAATTTGTTATCTATTTGGAACTAGCATATTTATTTGTCAAAAAAGAAGTATGAATTGGTTGATGTAATTTCTTCTTTCCAAACGAGATATACCTTCAAAATTTTGAATTTCTAAGTTTCAAATCATAACTACTCGGAAAAAATGCAGGTTTATGATGTTAAACTTTGAATTCCTTTTGCAGCCTGATAGTATCAGGGTCATGGGTGACAAGTCAACTGCTAGGGATACAATGAAGAATGCTGGTGTTCCAACTGTCCCTGGAAGTGATGGATTGTTACAGGTATTACATTTTGTTTAACACTGTTGCTTCCTGACCAACTTGCCACCAGCAACCCTCTGCCCCCACCTCTTTTTTTTTTTTTTTCCTTCATAATATTTTCCCAATGATGCTTGTCATTCCAGAGTACTGAAGAAGCAGTGAAACTTGCAAATGAGATTGGTTATCCTGTTATGATCAAGGTAAGTTGTTTATAATGTGATTCTGTGCAAAGATTACATTTTATTACTGCGATCATTTGCTAGCTCAAAAAAAACAAAAAAAAAATTGTGCACTAGTGGTGAAAGAAGATTTAGCGACTTAGGAAATTTAACATGAGAAGCTGCTGCCTATGTGAATGTGAATTTAGTATGGCTTGTGGCATTCACTGGTTGAGTATTTGGTCTACCTAGCAACAGTAATTTTATCGTTACACTTTACGTGTAAATTGCCTTCGTATTTATTCACAATTTGAAAAAAATTGCTGTATCGAGTTCAAATGAGATTCAACAGGACATGAAATTCTCCGTGTCATTACTTTTCTAGTTTCTTGTTGTACTTGGCAGATTCTTGGGTCATGTGTACATTCTGAAATTTTGTAGCTGAAGAACTTTCAGCATAGTTGTCTGAAGCCTGTTTTAGGTTCAAGAATCAAGATAAGTTAAATGGCTAATATCATTAAGCTTAGGTTAAAAGGTGAATCTAAATACATCTAAACTAGCATCTACAACAATTACTAAAAGTATGCTGAGTTTTCCCCTTAGGGGAGCAGGATTCTCGAAACTCCAAGTTCAGGGTGGCTTCATTTTGATTGAAAATCACTTTTCATTGAAATAATTATTTTCAAGACATAAAGCCTTAATTAGCATTCCATACACTGATCAGTAGACTGCCACAAGACTTCGCTTTTGCTGTGAGCCGGCGAAAACAATTTCTAGGAATTTTGAAGCTCTTTTACACTTTTCTGTGGCCATGAGAGCATTTGCCTCGGGTTAATTGATGATGCAATTGCCAATTTCAATTAGCTGTCTCAGTCTCTGAATGAAAGAAATCATATTTGGTGATCGACAGATCAGCTGTTTCTCTCTTATTACAATCGAATCTGACTTATATGTTCACGTTCCCTTCTAGATGAAATAAATTTCACCAATACGTTGACAATTGATCTTACTTCATCAGGCAAGATAATTGGGAATTAGAACTTGGGAGATACTCTATTTGGCGAGCGTGGGGGTTGTCAGTTGATGCTGTTGAATGAACCTAATTAATATTTTGAGTACTTATTATTATAATTATTATTATTGTTATTATTATTATTATTACTGTTGTTGTTGTTGAATCAGCTTTGTTCTGAATCTTACATCCTGTATGACACGGTTGTTATGGAGACAGATATGATAATCTTTTGATTCTCTATATTGTTAAATCACAGTGACCACTGTTTTTTCGCCAAAATATGTTCTTACATCTTTAAAGTTATATTATCAATTAACCTTTGATTGCTTCACTGAATTAAATATATGGACACTTTTTTCTCCTTGTTCCTTGAGCATGGACCTTTCACTGTCTTCTAGTCTGACATAGTGTTAAAGTAAATATAATGTATATGAAAAAAATGATGATTCAGTTTAACTATTCATTAAAATCAGTTACATCATTTATTATTTGACATAATGTTTTGTTTCAATCATTGTTTTTAGAAGAATATAAGTATCATTTTTTTCCAGTTGTTATTGTCTTGCATGGCTAGGCCATGATTTGTTTTCATTAACGTTGAGAATTTTCTTGATATAATTATACCGGCTTACATCTAGTCTAACCTTTTGCAGGCAACAGCTGGTGGAGGAGGGCGTGGGATGCGCCTTGCTAAAACACCTGACGAGTTTGTGAAGTTGTTGCAGGTATTTCACTTTTTCTCTGAATTTTCTTTTTCAAGCAGTTTTTGCTATTATGAACTTGAGAGTTGAATTTGTTTCCAGATTTTTCCTTTCTATTGTACGACATTTTCTTCTCTCTCTCTCTCTCATGTTTGTGAAAGTACCATTAATTATCACCTTATTTGGTGTGGAATCTGTCAAATATCTTTCTTATACTAGATTAAGGCCAATCATGTGAAATATTGGTGATCTTCGACATATTTGAAGTATATTAATCCAGCATCTGATTCTATCTGATGCATGTTTTTCATTCACTTGTTTTCTCTCAAGTCCTGAATACATAGTTACTTTGCTGGTATTAATGCCTGGTTGGGGCATTTCACCATAAATTACCTGTGAATCATGCCTGATTGTTTATTTTATTCTAGATTTACTTGTACCTAAAATGATCCGTCTTTTGGTATCAAAGCACCCCTATAATTTTTGTTAAATAATCGAGAGAGCGTCAATACAATGAATCAATGATATGCATGCTTATATTTTGATATGGAAGTTTAGAAATAATTTTTGCTCATTCATTTATTTTCCGAGGGTAGCAAGCAAAAAATGAAGCTGCAGCTGCGTTTGGTAATGATGGTGTTTACCTGGAGAAATTCATCCAGAATCCAAGACACATTGAATTTCAGGTAATGCATAACTTCATGTTGTTAATAAAGTATTTCCCACTTTGTAATTATATGAAGTATCATAATTCAGATTTAAATCCATGTTTGATGAATCTCATGTCTTCTTGTACCACTCATTTCTGTTCACATTAGAAATTTGACTGGTAATTTC